CCTTGATTCTGACTGGTTGAGCTGCGTTCGAAGCTGTTGTAAATTACTCTACAAACCTACACCTTTGTTTACGTCTGTTGTTGCTCGGCAACCACTTTGTTGCAACCACAACCGTTTCTGAGGAACTACAAAGTTTGGCGGAAGAATAATGTTTTTATTAATATCATTACTTTTTATTTGCTTTGTTTTACTTTGTGAAACCTTGCTACATATATGGTATAACCGCTTTATAAAAGCAATAAGCCCCATGAAGCCATGGTTTACAGTGAATTTATGCACGACGCGAAGCGGAAGCGGCTTCTTGGGGCTTATTGCTTTATTCTATTCCATCAAAGAATCCTTGTGGAAAAAATGTATCACTAAATATTAAGCAGTTGTTTTAAACTGTGGTAAAATAAGAAATGTTACTTGAGCACCAAATCAGCATATTAGAATGATTTTTGCCAGTACAGGAATAAAATACATTCATAATGTATTTTATATTAAGCAGCTGTTTTATTTTTATAAATAAAACAGCTGATTAATATTTTTTTATTATTTCTATATTATTATTTATTTTAAGCAGCTGTTCTAAACTGTGATAAAATAAGAAATGTTACTTGAGCACCAAATCAGCATATTAGAATGATTTTTGCCAGTACAGGAATAAATTAAATTATAAAATACATTTATAATTTTTTTTCCAATTTAATCATACTTCTCAATATTAGTTGTACTGTATTTGTATTTTGATCAAATAAATCCAGCCTTTGAGAGCGTGAGAGACTTCTTTCAACAATTTTTAAAAAATCTTACCTGGCCCAAACTTTTGAACATTAGTGTACAAAAATGAAAATAAAAAATCATCTTTAGTGAGCTTCAGCCCATGAATTTAAGTCTATAATATCTAGATACTAGTGTAGTACTTAAAGTTATCTTTGATGTTAATTTTAACTCTTGCCAACTTTTATCAGATGTCTGCACATAAAATGTATTGCTTTTCTCTAAAATATAATTTCAGAAATATTTATTCATCTGCACAAAAATATTCATTTTGTCAAGTTGGTAGCTTTTTATTACATACTTTTATTTCCTTTTCAATGTAACTAAAATGGTTATTCTGTTTGCTTGGGTATTATTTACATTTAAAGACTACTGCCTTAAAATTAACTCCAATAAACTACTGTTATTGGAGTCCTTAATGTTGGAGAAATTAGCTTTTCATTTGAAAATAAAAAATGTACCGGTATTATTTGCCTCAGGATTTTGTAATATAGACGCACAACTTGCAAGCTTTAATTTCAGTTCCACGCAAATGACAGATGGCCAAAACATTTACTATTAATATGAATTGATATAATGTCTTTGTTGTTTTGGTGTTTTGCTGTGCTAACCTTTGTGCTCTCTGTCCACAGGTGGAGAAACATTTTCGAGATATGGAGAGCCAAAAATCAGTGCAGCATTCACAGCAAGCTCAACAAACACAGAAAGACTCTGCTTTATCATCATGAGCCCAGGCTCAGAGAGGGAACATTATGCTGACAAAGGAAGTGTTGTGTGTTTTAAATTAATAATATTTTCTGATGTTTTTTGTTTTTGTTTTTTTTAACCAATCGCCAGACAAAGGTTGAGATAGCTGATACTCAGCGTTTTGAGCAGGGATGACAGTCCTACACATCTGAAGAGAAAAACTGCTTCCACTGACAAAAGTAGAGTGCTGTCTTAGAATATCATGTCATGTAGAAAACATTTGACATCCCTTCCAACATCACTCACCCCCCAATCCCACCCTGTTGGATCTCCTTGTTTTTTCCCTCCTGTCATCAAATAACCCACTTGTTCATTTCATCTTGCTTGGATAGCCAACAAAGAAATCACATTTTCTCTTCTAATCCATAATCTTCCTTTCTACCACTATAAAATGTGGCACTAAGTGTGTGAGGGTAGAACAAAAACTATTTTCCTAAGTTATAAAGCCTTTCAGACTAGATAAATACAGTTTGATTTCCTTAGTGCACTAGTGGGTTTATTTTTAGTTTTTAGTTTTAGATTGACTGAGAGCTGAAGGTGGAGTAAGGGGAAATTGAACTGCACTTAGCATCTACCCAACATCTCATTTTCCCAAACATTTTTTTAATATAAAACTCCCTTGTTTTACTTTTAAATGTCACTTTTTAAGTGACAGACGAAGGAGTAACACTCAAGTACTGTAAGCATCCTTTCAGTTTACGTGTAATATATTATGTTGTTTTTTTCCTTCCATATTTGGTCCTTGCCATTTTGAATACCTCTTCCATAGTGGGACCATTTTCTATGATGCAATGTTTGTATTATTGTTATTATTTCCGAGCACATCCAAACTGGAAGGGTACATGCAGTGACTCGCGTTTCTTCGTTATTGCAGCTTCGGTATGTTTCGGCGTTAGACGACTCATATCTTGCTCATCTCTCGCGACAGGACTGATCTCTTTTCTGAACGGGAATATTTGTAATCACCTTTTTGGGAAAAGGAAATGGTAAAGCGATATCTTGCCATGTTAAGAGACTGGGACAGGGGGGACGGGCAGCACTGGCTCAAAGCCGAAGTCCTCCCGGTCCCAGCCTCGTGAACCTTGTAGCCTGATGGAGGCTCTAGCAGTGGCGCCAAGCTGTGACGGGCATATCCGCGTTGCATACCAGTTTATGGCGCTGTGTGTTAACGGGGTTGCTGTTCGCCTATAGGTTTCTTTCGCAGTATTTTATTTTTAAACAGTAATGAAGAAATAAAAAAGAGAAAAATCTCACTTGTACGAGTGTTTAATCATTTATATTTTAGAATATTTGCTTAATAGGAGATATGTAGCTATATATACCGTGTGTGTACCACAAAACCAGTCATATGGTCAGTTTTAAATTGAGATTTATACCTCACCTAAAAGCTGAATAAATAAGCTTTCCATTGATGTATGGTTTGTTAGGATATGACGATATTTGGTCGAGATACAACTATTTGAAAATCTGGAACGAGGTGAGGTGCAAAAAAAAATCAAAATACTGAGAAAATCGCCTTTAAAGTTATCCAAATGAAGTCCTTAGCAATGCATATTACTAATCAAATTAAGTTTTGATATATTTACGGTAGGAACTTTACAAAATATCTTCATGGAACACGATCTTTACTTAATATCCTAATTATTTTTGGCATAAACGAAAAATCGATCATTTTGAACCCATACAATGTATTGTTGGCTATTGCTGCAAAAAAATACCTGAGCTACTTATGACTGGTTTTGTGCTCCAAGGTCACATAATACAAATACAGTGGTGGCCAAAATTATTAGAACACTAATATTTTTACCAGCTAAAAATGGTTTTAAGTCAGTTATGTCTATCTTTTGCTGTAGTGTCAGTATAAATATCAGTTTACATTCCTAAACATTCATTTAGCCATTAATTGTAATAATCCAGTGAGATTTTTGTTTGCACAAGGAGTCTGATAACAGCCAGTGCTCCACACACAGATCTGATCTGATCATCATCAGTCTGTCCTACCTGCAAAGCTACTATATTTCTTAGTTACTGACACTAGATAAAAATAGCTGACTTAAAACCATTTGTTTAGCTGGTGAAAATACTAGTTTTCTAAGACTTTTGGCCACCACTGTATATAATTAAAATGGTATATCCTAGTCAACATGGTCACATAGAGGGTGCAGAAAAAGTTAGTGATTCATTTTGTCAGGCAATCAAAGGGGATCCCTTGCCATTGTTTAATGAGTTTGAATGAGTATTTACAGCCTTGACTGGAATGAATCATTGATGCTAAAGTTTTTCCATTATTCACGTACAAACGTATGCATTATTTAATCACGCATCATCTCGTGTTTCTGCCCCTGACCCCCGTCGCACATCAAGGTTATTAGGACACCGTGTTGGGCCACTTTAGTTTGCAGTGAAGGTGAGCACGTTGGCATAAGTTTAGCAGTGAGATATGGCACGTTCACTCAGATGTAGCAATTGTCTACCTTTTATTTATTTATTTATTTAGTTATTTATTTATTCATTCTTCAAGAAGTAAAACACAAAAAATAAATGTCCGAAAGCTAGGCACTGTCTGTCAGTCTCAGTCAAGATTCAGTGGTATTTTATTTTTTATGGACATACAATAAATGACGACTGAGGCTGCCATTCTGTTGGTATTTAATAACATGTAGATCTATACGTCTATAAATATTGTAAATAATGACATTTTTCATTTTGGGCGTGCTGTTCCTTTAAGTTGCTATATTAGGCGGCCCGATTTAAAATGGTTAAAGTTTCATAATAAGGTAAACATTGAAATCAGTTCGTAATCCGCGCACTTGAGACGGAGTTCCGGGGATACGGTAGTAATTCATTTTGTAATAAATGTATTGGATGAGACTTGAGGCGGGGTGGTATTGACGACATATTTCTAAATTTAGACAATAGTGCGTAATTCAATCGCATTGGAGTTTCATCAAAGGTAAAAAAGGAAAATAATACAAGGGTAATACAAGGATAGTCGAGGTTTAGGCCTAATGCGTGTTGGATTATGACCAAATGTGACAGCCGCATTTCTGAGCGCACGAAGAGTCGGATCTTTTTAATAAATCTTGAACCGATTCACTTAACCCGTTCATAAAATACATGATAAGCTACATATAACAAGGTCTGGAAATGTTTCTATGACATTTTATCGAAGCAAATGGAAAACAATTAATTGTAATAAATTTAAAAATACCTTATTTATTACCAAGCAAAACAGATGGTTCATTATTTTTGTACAATTTAGGCTAATGTAAATTAATGTTCTAATTTTTTTGTTTAGCTGAATCCTGTCTTCAGCCAACTGAACCGTCACAAAATAAATAATAATAAACAACATGTAGGCTAGGCCTACTACATACATGCAATTTTGTGGAGTGTTTTGGAGCGTGCATTAGTTCTTTTTATATGATTACCATAGACTGATTTTTTTAACCTGTTCTTTGAAACATGTTTGAAAGAGCCGATTCGCGGAAATGAGTCTTCCCATCACTAGTGCGCTGCGCATCTTGGTGTGGAGCCGGACTGAATAACTGAGAAATCAGACTGTTGTTATTGACTACCACGTTTTTCTGTATATTTAGTGGAGGAAAGGAATAAAACAATACCTTTTCAACGACTCGATTTTCGCATTCAATGTACTAGGCTACTAGTAGTAGCCTACTGTTTTAATTTCCCCTTGGCAAAGACAGTAAGTTCTCCTCTACTTTCTTGTATCTGTGTTATTGCGTGTGTGAGAGTGAAAAAAAAAAAAGAAATTGAGTCGCACTGCGAATATTCTGCTCATCTGTAAAAGTCTGTTTTGCCGTCTCGACACAGAAACATTTAATAGAAACTGTATGCGTTTATCACAGGGATCTGGTTCCTCTCCCGTAGAAAGCTGAGGATCGGTTAATCGCCGCATGAAGAGTCCTAGACAACAATTTGGCGCTCTGCAGAGAGCTCCTGTTAGCTCTCTTGAAGCTGTAATCACATCATGTTGATGCTGTCCATCGCGTTGTTTTTACTCTTTCTGTCTCCATCGAGGAGCTCAAGACTGTGTAGTCACCTCTGCCGGTGCTATGTACACTCAGACCTGGTGGACTGCCAAGCCAGAGGTTTTGAGGATGTCCCACATGGACTTCCCCATGGCACCTGGCTCCTAGACCTGGGAGGAAACAAGCTCTTCAAACACAGGTAAGATCACTTAGGCTATTCCAGGGGTGCACAATCCTGTGTCCTGGAGATCTACCTTCCTTGCAAAGTTACCTAATCAAAGTATCCTAACCAAATGCGCCTGAACCAGCAATTTAAAGGGATAGTTCACCTAAAAAATATGAATATTTGCTGAAAAAAAATAGTTTTTTCTTCATCGGAACAGATTTGGATAAATTTTGCATTACATCAATTGTTCACCAGTTGATCCTCTGCAGTGAATGGGTGCCGTCAGAATGAGAGTCCAAACAGCTGATAAAAACATCACAATAATCCACAAGTAATCCACACGACTCGATTCCATGTTATGTGAAGCAAAAAACTGTGTGTTTGTAAGAAACAAATCCATCATGAAGATGATTTTAACTTCAGATATGAGTCCTCTATCCATAATATTGCTTTCTCCTGGGGAAAAAAAGTTATCTTTTTTTAATTAGGAGAGAAATATGCACAGATCAAGCACTGTTTACAAGTGAAAACTGTCTAAAGCAGCTCTAAACAAATTTGATGGATTTTGAGAGGACAAGGGATGGACTATTGCACTGGAGGAAACGTTATTATGGATTATGGACTAGTTTGGATGATGGATTAGGGTCGTGTGGATTATTGTGATGTTTTTATCAGCTGTTTGGACTCTAATTTTTACGGCACCCATTCACTGCAGAGGATCCATTGCTGAGCAACTGATGTAATGCTAAATTTATCCAAATCTGTTCCAATGAAGAAACAAACTCATCTACATCGTTGAAGGCCTGAGGGTGAGTAATTTTTGGTAAATTAATTAGTAAATTTTAAATAAATGTTTTAGTAAAGTAGTTCATTTTAGAGGGAACTATTACTTTAAGAGAGAGTTGGCAATGCAGGAACTCTGCAGGAAGTTAGATCTCAACAGAATTGGACACATCTGATTTATTCAATCCACATAATTTATTTTGGATGATGGATTAGGGTCGTGTGGATTTTTGTGATGTTTTTATCAGATGTTTGGACTCTAATTTTGTCGGCACCC